TCTGCTCCCACACACCCAGACCCCACATAATGGGGTCCCACCCACCACTGCCTTGGCCTTGCCCCTTCTCCCATAGTCACTAGGCTCCGCCCCGGCCCCAACCCTCACTCACATGGTCTGGGGGGTGAAGAGCCCCGAGAGCTGGAAGCACTGGGAGGCCAGCGTCTGCGAGGCCAGGTTCAGTGCTGGGCTCAGGGCTGGAGCAGAGAAGGGAGTAGTCAGATGGTCCCGCAGGGACCCCCTGTACCCTGTCACCACCCCCCAGGGCCCCCACAGCCTATACATGGCCCTTCCCCATACCCACAAGACCCCCCAGAGCACCTATACAAAGTGCCACAACCCCCTCTCCACTCCCAATGGTCCCCCAGAGCCCCCTGCCCAACCCCACAGGGGACCCCTGCAGCCCCCTCCCCAGAGCCCCTACATGAAACCCTCACCAAAGCACCCATGGAACCCCCTCCCCCACCGCTGCCTCGACACCCCAGAGCTGCCCCCCCAAGGGAACTGACTGCACTCCCCTCCCCAATACCTGTGAGAGCAGCGGGGTTCAAGGCCCCCAGGGGGATGGCGCCATTGAGCTGCAGGGCAGCCTGGGCCGCAGCTGTGCCAGGCAGCTGGAGCCCGGAGCCTGCAGTGTTGGGGGAAGGAGAAAGAAACATCACGGACCCTCTCAGCCTACCATCCAGCTGGGGAGCTGGGACTGGCCTAACAAGCTCCACCTCCAGATGCTATTGGGAGGAGCGGTCTTGCTGCAAGGCAGCGCTAATACTGCAAGTCCCACCCCTGCATGCTGGGAGGTGACCAGGACTCACCCTCAGCGAGCTTGGCCATGAGCTGTAGGCGGCCAGAGGCACCAGCCGGGTCAGGCTCATCGGCGCCATCGGGGAAGGCGACGTCAGGGGTGCCATCCAGCCGCTCTGTCACCTGCCCCACGCGCATCGGGCGTCCAGCCAACTCGAAGCCATGCAGCTGCTCCAGCGCCCGGCGTGCGCACTCTGCCTCTGCAAACTGGGGGGGGGGCAGGGAGGAGGGGTTACTGGGGGTCAGCAGGGCTGCAGGGACCTGTGGCTGGGAAGGGGGGGCCCCACTGGCTCCCCTAAATTGGGTGTTGGTATGGCTGGAACCAGAACCATGCAAGGAACCCGCAGGCACTCAGCCCATGGGCACCCCTGGCCCAGGCAGAGCTTGGGTGGGAAGGCAGAGACCCACGGGCACCCCCTGGCCCACAAATGGGGAAGTGGTAGAGCTTAGTCTGTATGGGGGCTGTACAAGAGAGGGGTGAGGGAGCTGTAAGGACCCCACTGGTTCTTGGCCTGGGGTATAAGGGCTTAGTGGGGCTGGGCCAGAAGAGGAAGGGGCCTGTGGGGCCCCAGGTTGGGGAGGGGTGAACCCCCAGTTACCCACTGACCCCCGAGTAGGATGTTGGTGGAGCTGAAGCCACATGGGGGCTTGTTTCATGGCATGAGGGCAGAAGTGTGACATCACAGGCACCCCATGCCTGTCCCTAGATGGCAGAGCACAGGGGAACCCTGTGAACACTTTGCTTGGGGTCTGGCGTGTTGGGAATTCTAGGGCAGGCCACAGGACCTTGGTCTACAGATGGGCACTGGTGGTTCCACATGGGTTGTGGGGGCTGAGCATCTGAGGGGGCAGGGAGGGATGTGGGGACCCCACAGCTGCTTTGCCCAACACCCAGGGTGTGGCCAGTATTTGGGGGTGTCATGGGGGGGGGGGGAAGGGGAGAGGAGGCCCTCAGGCACCTCATTTACCGTAATGAAACCGTAGCCCTTGGACTGGCCAGTGTCTGGGTCCCGCATCAGCACAATGCTGTCAATCTGGGGAGAGAAAAAACCACCTGGGTCACACCAAGGCTAAGAGCTGCACATACCCCCAGTGTCAAAAAGGCTTGGAACCCTGACCAGAGGACCCCCCCCCACCAGCCCAGCCTGTGAATGGTGATGACCCAGGTTGGTCCTGCACCCGAGGGATGAAGCCCCTTCCTAGCCCTCCCTACCCAAGGTCAGGCCTTGCCCCACCCTCACCCACCTTGCCAAAGGGCTCAAAGATGCCCCGCAGCATCTCCTTGGTGATATTGCAGTGCAGGGCGCCCACGTAGAGGCGCATCGGTCCCCCACTGCCCTTCTGCAGGTTATTGGCCATGGCTGCCAGCCGGTTCTTCTCCGCCTGCCGTGTTGAATGGGGCAAGAGCTTCATCAGTAGCCCTCAGTGCCCCCCAGCTCCAAGCACCCCAAGGCCCAGCCCTCCGCAATCCCCAGCCCCTATCATTCCAAACCCCCACAACCCCTATGACCCACTGTTCCCCCTGCCCCACAGATCCAAGAACTGGGGATATGGAGGCTCCCCTGAAAGGGGACCAATCAGCTGGGAGCCCCAGGGCTGCCCCACAAAGCCCCTTGCCCCGTCTCCTCTCTGGATAGAATCGAACTGTGGATCAAGCCTTGCCCGAGTCATCCCCTCTCTCCTACCCCAATGCCCCCTGGCAGGCCAGGGCTCACCTGGGAGGCCTGGACAATGATGGGCACCCCCAGTAGGCGTTGCCCCGTGAGCCCGATGGCCAGCGGCACAGCCTGGATGTCACAAAACTCCACATAGGCGATGCCCTTGGAGCGGCGTGAGTTGCGGTCCGAGATGATGCGCACATCCCGCACCTGCAGAGAAAGGAGAAGGTATGTGAGGAGGGGGCAGGGCCAGCATGGAGGGGGAAGAGTCAGCACCTGCCTCCCCCACAAGGCTAGGGCTCCAGAAGGCAGAACCTGGACCAAAGCAGCCCCTATTGCAGGGGTGGGAGAGAGCCTAAAATTCCAATATCTTGGTGACTGGGGGCAGGGCCTGCTGCCCACAGCAAAGATGTTCCTCAAGCCCAGAAAGCCAGAGATTGGACTCATGCTGCATAGGGTAGAGCCCTGGACAAAAAGCCACCACAGAAGCAATAAGGGTGAGGCCTGGGGAAAGGAAGCAAAGCCAGGCAAGGAATTCAAAGTGGGCCCTGGGACAGTGGCAACCACCCTGCCTGGGGAACTAGGCAAGGCTAATCGGGGGGGGGGAGCAGCGAGGGTGGTGCCAGCCTGGAGGCAGAGCCTGTGCTTACCTTGCCAACAGCGGAAAAGAAGTCCTCGAGGTCACGGGGGCGGATGCGAGCGGCCAGCTGCATGCAGAAGACTGTGCGGGCGTCCCGCTCCTCAGGGCTCAGACTGCCCAGCGGCTCCCTGTGGGGGATGAAGTGGGTGTAACGCACCAGGGAAACTCATCCTCTGCACCCACCTCCTAAATCCTCTACCCACCTCCCAAGCTTCTAACCACTCTTAGCTTCCCCCTTCTACTCACCGCACAGGGCTCTTCTCTCGGTACAGGGGACTCTTGCTGTGGCCAAAGCGACGCCTGAGGGCAGACACAATGGGTCAGGGCCAAGGGAGGGCTGGATGATATCCAAGCAGCACAGAGTGGGCAGGGCGACGGGGGAAGGGTCAAACACACAGCAGCAGGCAATGGGTGGGGACCTACAGTCAGGACACCCACCGCACCAAGCATCCATGATAGGGGAAGCCAGCCCAGCCCAGGGAATAGGCCTTGCAAGTGGGTGGGGACTGAAGAGGGTGAAGCTTCTCCAGGGGGCAGGGCAAACTCACCCCGAAGGTGGAGGGCTGCGGTAGCGGGAACGCTCCTCACGCCGGCGCTCCCGGCTCCGACTGCGGCGCCGCCGTTCCCTGTCTCGGTCCCGGCTCCGGTTGGGTGGGGGCGAGGGAGGGTGTCAGAGACCTGCTGAGTACCCTGACCCAACCTCCAATTCCAACCAATCCCGGTCCCTGCTAAACACCCACCCCAGCCAATTTCAAGCCTCCTGCTCTGCCTGAGCACCCAACCCTGGCCAGTCAAAACCCACCCCAGCCAATCCTAGCCTGCTGTCCTTCCCTAATCCCCCAAACTCCAGCCAATTCCAGCCACTTACTGAACCACAGCAAATCCCAGGCCCCTACCTGTGTCTGTGGTCACGGCTCCGGCTGCGGCTCCGACTCTTCTTCTTCTTGCTGGGGTAAAGCAGGAGAAAAAGGCATCAGGAAGAGGGAGGGTGTCAGAGACCTGCTGAGTACCCCAACCCAACCTCCAATTCCAGCCAGTCCCAGTCCCTGCTAAACCCCCCCCCCAGCCAATTTCGAGCCTCCTGCTCTGCCTGAGCACTCAACCCTGGCCAATCAAAACCCACCCCGCCAATCCTAGCCTGCTGTCCTGCCCTAACCCCCCAAACTCCAGCCAATTCCAGCCACATACCAAACCACAACCACAGTCAATCCCAGCCCCCTTCCTGTGTCCCCCACCTCCCCCAGTCCTGCCTCCCTCCAGGCTGCCTCCTGTCCCCACCCAGTACCTGCTGCTGGAGCTCTCTTTCTTGGCCTCCTTGCTTGGCTCCTCCGGAGGCTGCTGCTGCCCAAGGAAGGGAAGGTATAGAGGAGACAGCAGAGACAAATGAGTCCTCAACCCCACCACCCCCAGTGTCCCCCCTCACGCAAGTGCCCCCCCTCCCCAAAAGTTACCTGAGCTGCCGGGGGTTCAGCTGGTGCCTTTGAGGGTCCCGGCTGGGCCTGGGGGAAACAGGGACAGGGGAGTGGAAGGATCACCAGCGGCAGCAGATGCCGCTCCCCAAAACTCTGATGCACAAATTCTTTCAGGGAAGATTACACTGATCTACTGAACCTTTAAAAATTGCCAAACCCACAACCTGGGCTGCAAAAGACCTCAAACATCCACAAACAGCACCGAAAATGACCCAAAATTCCCCAAATCCCACCCTAAAGGGAGTCCAATCACAAGCTCACTGTGCTCTGCGAGCTGAGACCATCCCAGAGGTCCAGCTGATTCTACAAGCATCTCCTGCCTTGGAGCCCAAACCCCATCCTCCTTTCCTTAGCTCGTTAGCTAACGTCCCTCATTAACCAGCAGTTCCCCTGCAAAGCCTCACCTCCTCTTTCTTGTAGGGAGCCTCCAGCATTGCCTCAATGACGATGTCAAAGTCATCTGATGACATGGCGTCCACCTGGGCCTGCAAGGGGGAGACAGGATTAGTTGAGAACCCTGACCACAGTCCCAGCTCGGCCAACCCTGTCCCCACAAGCTCGGCAGAGAGAGGAATGCACTCACTGGGTCCTGCAGTGGGTTTGAGCCCCCCGGCTCCATGCTGGCCCAGCTGGGGGAGCCCCCAGAAGGGCGGGCGCTGGGTGCAAGCGGATTCCTGGTGCTGACTTAACTGGGTTCCAAGTGTTTCCTGGCAGGAAAGACAAATAGGAGAGTATGAGGCCATGGTTCTAGAGCATAGACCATGCTGTGCTCTAGAACCAGGCTGGTTCCCAGGTTCTCCCTGCAGCCGCTGTGATTCTGGGCATCCAACCAGGCTTCCGCAGGCACTGGAGACTCGAGAATCCCCCTCCTGGCCACCCTCCAACTCCAGAAAGCTCAGGTCCCTCCAAATCAAAAGCCCGTACCATCACCAGGTTGCAGACACGACCCTCTAATGTCTCCACCTCATGGCATGTACCGGACTAAGATCTAAAACAGTAACTCATTCTAGAGCCTTCGCTCCCAAAGCAGTTGCAAAACATGGTCAAGAACAAGCACCCATCCTCAGTCCAGCCCTGGCCCCAAGCTTCAGTCCCACTCTGCTCTAGATGCTTAAAGATCTGCCTCTCTTCCTGTTTGAAGTCTGTTCTAGAAAACACCTGCCTCAGACCTGTTCTAGAACAATACAACAACCTGCCCCATCATGGAGCAGCCCCAATTAGAAACTGTAATGCTTCTAGGTCACACAAGGCCTCCCTGATCTAGAACCCACCACACTCCTGGGGCAACCCAGAACTTGGCTCCAGACTCTTGTTTGTGACCGGTGCAGACTGTGGAAGGCTCTGGTTTAGAAGCCAGATACAGCCTCAGTTCTGCATCAGCTGTTCTCAGCCTTTTTTGTACCAAGACTCATTTATAAGCATCAATGGCCAGTCATGGCCTAATGCCCCTCCCAACCTGCTGCCCCCCCCTCCCCCATGTGTGGGGCAGGGGGCAAGTGTGTGGGGCAAAGGAGACCCCATGCAGCCCCTTGCAAGCTGGAACTCTGCCACCTGGCAAGGGAAAAGCCACCGCTTCCCATATTTTTAAATACATTTTTAAAGTTTATTCACAACCCATATATCCTTGTGAATTCTTCCATATAGCACCCCTGCAGATACTGGCAGAGGAAGCACAGGGACAGTGGGAAGTACTGGGAAAACTAGGATCCCTCACGGCAGGGGTATGATGAGGGGCACTGATGAGGGGAAATGCTACCTGTTCATTCAGGTAGCTACTGATGGGCACCCAGTGACACTGGTTGCAACCCACAGGTTGAGAAACACTGTTCTAGGTCACCCAAAGCCACCTTGCTCTAGACCCCAGGACCCCCCCCCAGGATAATCCAGAGCCACCCCTTGGCTTTAGACACTCATTCTTGATCCACAGAGCCCGCCAGCCCCCTGCGCAGGGCTCCTTCTCTGGAACTAATTTAGAGCCTAATGGTTCTAGGTCACCCAAAGCACCCCAGCTCTAGAACCCACTGAACCAGAGCCCTCCTCCAGTTCTAGGCTTTCATTCTGGGCCCTTACAGAGGCCTGCCCCAACCAAGCACCACTGCTCTATCGAGGATCTAGAGCACCATAGATTCTAGATCACTCAAAACCTGCCCAGTCCAGAACCCACCAGGCCCCCAGAACCCACAGACACCCCCAAGACCGAGCCCCATTAGCCCCCACCCACCCGGGGCCTGTTCTAGACTCCCTCCAGGGCTGCTCTAGAACGC